GGATAGTGTTAGATATTTGCAGATACTTTACTTTCATTTTCTTATGGATCTAATTTGCCTCCTAGTGTAGAGCAATTGGAGGTTTCTCTGGCCATGCCAGGTCTGCATGTGACTGCCATGAAAAGACAATTTGTTTGGCTGAAGTTGGCAGATTGAATAGCAAGATTTCAACAACTTTACATTTTAACCACTCCCTGTTCACTATATATATATATATATATATATATATATATATATATATATATATATATATATACATACATATACACACACACACACACACACACACACACACACACACACACACACACACACACACACACACACACATATATACACATACACACACACACACACACACACATACATATACACACACACACACACACACATACATATACACACACACACATACATATATACACACACACACACATATACACACACACACATACATATACACACACACACATACATATACACACATACATACAGTGGGGCAAAAAAGTATTTAGTCAGCCACCAATTGTGCAAGTTCTCCCACTTAAAAAGATGAGAGAGGCCTGTAATTGGCATCATAGGTAGACCTCAACTATGAGAGACAAAATGAGAAAAAAAAATCCAGACAATCACATTGGCTGATTTGGAAAGAATTTATTTGCAAATTATGGTGGAAAATAAGTATTTGGTCAATATGAAAAGTTCATCTCAATACTTTGTTATATATCCTTTGTTGGCAATGACAGAGGTCAAACATTCCCTTTAAGTCTTCACAAGGTTGGCACACACTGTTGCTGGTATGTTGGCCCATTCCTCCATGCAGATCTCCTCTAGAGCAGTGATGTTTTGGGGTTGTCGCTGGGCAACACGGACTTTCAACTCCCTCCAAAGGTTTTCTATGGGGTTGAGATCTGGAGACTGGCTAGGCCACTCCAGGACCTTGAAATGCTTCTTACGAAGCCACTCCTTCGTTGCCCGGGCGGTATGTTTGGGATCATTGTCATGTTGGAAGACCCAGCCACGTTTCATCTTCAATGCCCTTGCTGATGGAAGGAGGTTTGCACTCAAAATCTCACGATACATGGCCCCATTCATTCTGTCCTGTACATGGATCAGTTGTCCTGGTCCCTTTGCGGAGAAACAGCCCCAAAGCATGATGTTGCCACCCCCATGCTTCACAGTAGGTATGGTGTTCTTTGGATGCAACTCAGCATTCTCTCTCCTCCACACACGACGAGTTGTGTTTCTACCAAACAGTTCTATTTTGGTTTCATCTGACCATAGACATTCTCCCAATCCTCTTCTGGATCATCCAAATGCTCTCTAACAAACTTCAGACGGGCCCGGACATGTACTGGCTTAAGCAGGGGGACACGTCTGGCACTGCAGGATCTGAGTCCCTGGCGGCGTAGTGTGTTACTCATGGTAGCCTTTGTTACGTTGGTCCCAGCTCTCTGCAGGTCATTCACTAGGTCCCCCCGTGTGGTCCTGGGATTTTTGCTCACCGTTCTTGTGATCATTTTGACCCCACGGAGTGAGCCCCAGATCGAGGGAGATTATCAGTGGTCTTGTATGTCTTCCATTTTCTAATTATTGCTCCACAGTTGATTTGTTCACACCAAGCTGCTTGCCTATTGCAGATTCAGTCTTCCCAGCCTGGTGCAGGTCTACAATTTTGTTTCTGGTGTCCTTCGACAGCTCTTTTCTCTTCACCATAGTGGAGTTTGGAGTGTGACTGTTTGAACTTATCAGTATAAAAGACACCTGTCCACAACCTCAAACAGGTGCCATTGATACAGGTAATGAGTGCAGGACAGAGGAGCCTCTTAAAGAAGAAGGTACAGGTCTGTGAGAGCCAGAAATTCTTGCTTGTTTGTAGGTGACCAAATACTTATTTTCCACCATAATTTGCAAATAAATTCTTTCCAAATCAGCCAATGTGATTGTCTGGATTTTTTTTTCTCATTTTGTCTCTCATAGTTGAGGTCTACCTATGATGCCAATTACAGGCCTCTCTCATCTTTTTAAGTGGGAGAACTTCCACAATTGGTGGCTGACTAAATACTTTTTTGCCCCACTGTATATATATATAAAAATAATGGGAGTGCTGATATCACAATCATGGCTGTAGCTACGATCGTGGAATAATTTGTTGTGGTTTTTTTTTTTTTTTTTTTTTTTTTTTTTTAAGAGCAGGCGATGGGCTTTCATGTAAAAGTAATCAAGCGGCTATACAGCTGCCCAATCGCTTTTAGAGGTGGTGGAATGGCTTTATAGGGCTCTCCCATTCTGGCAGAACCAGACTGAGAACAGAATATGTTACATGACCAGAGGTTTGCAGGCACCTAACAATCACTATACTACCAAAGGCATTAACCCTTCCAAATCGCTGAGTGCACAATCACTGGTGCACATGTTAATATCACTTAAAGTTGACCTTCCACCTCCCAATGAAAATTACACTACTCTTCCACTTTACCTTTAGGCTGCATCAATAGACTTACAAGCCCAGCAGCCTTGTCCTTTCTTTTTGCACCATTCTCCCACTATATGTCCAAGTCCAGCGCCGCCATCTTCCACATGGGAAGATGGCTACCTCTTCCTAGTTCTTTCATTAATGAGACTGTTGCGGCATCAAATCTCTCTCACATATGCAGAGATCTAATGTGTCTGTTTACATACTGCCATGGATTTTCTGAATGGAGGAAAGCAATGCCTTCTGAGATGTGACATCTGTATCTCAGGAGGCTACAGGACAAGACTGAGACATCATCTTTTCCTAGGCGAGAACTGAGGCAGGGGTTGAGCTTTTTTATATTGTGGAGGGGGATTAGAACAGTGAAAAGTAATTATTGGTTAGGGTTCACTCTAAATACCACTGGTGTCTAAAGAAAGATTTGGAGCTTCTAGTTGTCTTCTGAAAATGTAATTCTTAAAAAACCTACTTCCCCTCCAGCATATATACATTTTATATATATGTACGAGGTGGTATCAAAAAGTTTCTAGACTCGTTTTCTGATAAATCATCCTGGACAGCAAGTTAGAGCAAATAGCAAACGTAAAATTCTGCATGAAACTGGGCAAATCTGCCACAGACACATCTAACATGATTCGGCAAGTTTACGGCAATACTGCAATGAGTCATTTGTGGTGTTTTTAGTGGCATGCACACTTCAAGAGTGGAAGAAAATCACCGAAAGATGACGAGATCAGGAAGACCTTCAACTAACTCAACCCGAAAATGCGGAAACCAGTCGGCAGTTGTGCATGTTGAGGATCATTACTGGTGACAAAACTTGTGTGTATGGGTTTCACGCAGAATTTCCTGTTTCCTCTTTGTTCTAACGTGCTGTCCAGGATGAAATAGAACACGTGGTAATGCACTTGGTCAGAGTAAAACCAGTTGCACAGCTCCGATGTACACGGGATGATGACTTTTGGCACACTGACTTATGAAGGTTGGTGCAGTCATCTGATTGCGTGTTACAAAACTAGTCTCAAACTTTGATGCCACCTTGTGAATATATCCTGGGAGGGAAAAGATCATAGATGAAGCCATAATCCAAATATTAAACTATTAAGCCAGTGATGGTCTTTCTGGTAAAAGTGATCCAAGTAGCTCTATAGCCACCTGATCATGTTTACAAGGCTCGAAAAGCACCCGGCTGCTATTCCTGGACTCTCCCATTCTACTGAGAGAGTGTACATGCCATGTTTTGACCTCAACCTCATACATTTACAGATGTGACAAACATGATAATAATGTATATTAGTACACTCACAAATTCAAATTGAGGATCCCAGTTTGTTACATCTGTAAATGTATGAGGTTTCATATTATATCACATGGTATTATTCTGTGTTTTTAGTAGCTATCTTCAATCGCACCCTTGAACCCCTGAAGAAGCTGCAGTGCGAAACGCATCGGGCCTTGGCCCCCCCTTCTACAGATTAATATACTGTGTGATTTATTATATTTACTACATCATTATGTATTGAGTTACACATAGAGTGGTAGTGCATTATGGGGGGCTGTGATGTTAATGACAAATGTGAGGGCTCAATTCTTTTAGTCCTCTATGGACCTACCATTTTAGGGGATGGTTTTACTCCAGTTTTAATTTTGCAATAAATGCTGATAATTTTACCCTAGAGATGAGTTGTTTTTGTTCTGAGATGGTGTCAGCACCGTGAAAATCCCAATCCCGTTTCTTTCTATTGACTATTTCTTGTTAAAACTTATCGGTTAACACTGACACCCAGTGCAGATCACAAGTGCCATGTGTTTCGAAAGCGGTGCAAGAAACATGCATGGATCACAGGTTTCCTGCACCGCGCTCTGGTATGAACTGGCCCTAAGGCTCGGGTCACACTTGTGTGGGTGGTTGTGGGTGCAGGCCAGTGTGAAAATCGCACCTATTCCCACAATCACCCAATGCTGTACTTTGCAGACATGTGGGGCTGCCATTCATTGTCATCCCCATGCATCTAAAGTACGTTTTCAGTTGCAGGAAATCGCATTGTGCAAAAGCATCATGTGATCTCCGTGACTTCATCTTGGAAAAAGTGCAGGAACTATTCTTCTGCACGAAGCACAGGCACTGCAGCCCATTCAAATGTATGTCCAATGCGAATGCCAGCCACACACTGCAGAAAACTGTATAGATGGGAAGGGCCCCATAGGAAACCAATTTACGGAGTTTCAGTGCTTCCAGAAACATACAGGTGTGAGTCTAGCTGAGGGGCCACAAGAGGAGAAAGGTCAGCTGACCAATAATAGAGGTGGGGGGAGGGGGACGTACAGCCTAAAATGGGCATTGCACCAGTGTGAGGTCACCAGTGCAGTACCGGGCTGAGCACAGGGGGGGCGCTAAGCAGGGTTTGCTGAGCTGTACAGGTTAGGTATGACAGCCTAGTAAAGGTAACGTGAGCTCTAGAGCCGTGCTGTACATAGACACACCCGGGAAGCACCGCACTCCATGCAGGCAGAGCCCCCTCACCTTCACACTCCGCCGGAGCCGGCCGTGCCACCGGGAGGACACACACCACACCAACCAGCAGCCAACCCGCAAGGCCTTCCTCATCTTCATCCACCTATCTACCACTCCGCCCCCAGTCTCTGATGTCATATTCAATAGCCAAGCTCAGGGAACGCCCCCTCCGATCAGCCAGCCTCCACAGATTTACCATTGGCTGAACAGGGAGACCGAGAGTGCAACGTGAGCCTGTATCTGTACTCTCATTGGCTGGAGACTCTCGCCATTCTGTCGCTGCATTGGCTGGATGAGGATACTCTGTGCCAAACACCGGTATGGCGGCGATCGGTGTGCACTTGGGGTGCACGTGTGCGTGTGTGGCCGTGTATAAGGTAAAGGGGTACAGAGAGCGGGAGGGGATTGGCCATCGCTGGCACGTGGTCTGCAATGCCTTGGGGGGCGGTGTTCATTGTGATGAGGCATCCTGCACATAGTCTATGGAGGGTCAGAGCCAGGCTCAGTCTTTCTATCGTGAGCGAGGGTGTGTGTGTGACTGCATGCAGGCAAATCAATGACCTCTCATTCATTGCTGCCCATTTGTACGTGTGTGCTTTGTGCCTTGTCAGGCTTAACGTGTAACTAAAGTCAGCAGACACAAATGACATCTTTTTTACATTTCAATTCTCAGTCGTCTCATTCTGCTTCTCTGTGTACATGAAGTCCCCAGAAATACGTCAGAAATGTTCCAGAGATCCCCACCTGCGTCCACCACCTTTATGCCTGTGTCTACAAATCATTCTGCTCTCTCAATAACTCCCTTTATAACCCCTATTCAGATGCAGAGAGTGTAAGTGATGAGGACGGATGAGCCTGAGTGAAAGAACACATCCCCAGCTTCCCTTTAGATTAGCATGTTCCTCCTTGCTAGTCGGTGATGTAGACTAGGGAAGCACCAATACTGCTCTCTGTGTCGTTACTAGGCATTTGTACAAGTATCGGTACTTGTGCAAATGCACCAATATCTGATACTGAAAGTGACGTCATCGTGTAGGCGGACAGGGCTATGTTCCCCCACATGGTGCCAGTGAGTGCTTACATGTCCCTTGATGACTGCTGTACTTCTGGCGGTGAGCCCAGCCCTGCGCCTTGCTGTACTTCTGGCGGTGAGCCCTGCGCCTTGCTGTACTTCTGGCGGTGAGCCCTGCGCCTTGCTGTACTTCTGGCGGTGAGCCCTGCGCCTTGCTGTACTTCTGGCGGTGAGCCATGTGCCTTGCTGTACTTCTGGCGGTGAGCCCTGCGCCTTGCTGTACTTCTGGCAGTCCTGCTACATGTCCCTTGCTGTACTTCTGATGGTGAGTCCTCAGTGCTGTTACATGTCCCTTGCTGTACTTCTGGCACTGAGGCCTGTTACATGTCCCTAAAAATAGGTATCAGCGAATACTTGAGGAAAAGTATCGGTACTTGGTCTTAAAAAAGTGGTTTCGGTGCATCCCTAGTGCAGACTATAGCTGTGATGATCAGTGTTCCCATGGTAGGTCTGATAAAATATATACAAACAACTAATTGGGAAACTGCAAAGTTAAAGAATTCACCACCCAGTGACCAGCTCTCTTTCTGAAACATGCTCCTCTAAAGCAGAGCTTGACAAAGTTGCTTTGAATCTAGGAGCCAGGCACCCAAAATTACTTGTTTAGAGCATTGGGCAGTAGGCATTTGAGAGCAAATTGACAGCCCCATATATTCAGCAAAGAGACATTTCCATATAGCAAAGAGACCGCTCAATCCAGCAGAGACATCTCCATATATTCAGCAAAGAGACATCCCCATATATTCAGCACAGAGACAGCCTAATCCAGCAATTAGACATCCCAATCTAGCAAAGAGACGTCCCTTTCCAGCAAAGAAACAGCCCAAAAACATAAGCACAGCACACAGGTGTAAGATTTGTGCAGCAGCAATGTAACACACACAATTAATGGGCAGGCCAGTCCACAAAAGCTCCCCCCTTCCTCTTCACCATCACCAATCAACTAAGTTCTGATCCCAGCTCAGTGATGCAAGGTGTGGCTTCTCTCTCAGTTTGAGTGAACCTGTACTCCACCATCGGTCATGTGACCCCCAACGCCCTGCCCATCTGTTGCCGCCATCCAAACAAAGGAAGCTGTACAGAGCGGGAAGCTCAGGACACCAGGAGCGCAGTCAAGGAGTGACAGACTGCGTACAGCACACTTGGGAGTCAGGACGGCAGGCGTAAAACAGTGAATGGCCTAACAGCCCTGGCGCAAGGGCTCAATTTCTTGTCGTTATGGCAACCTGGTGCCTGGGATTTGTTGAGACCTGCTCTAAAGGGTGCTCAGGGATGTGTTCTTTCATTATAGCCATTAACAGGAAGCTGATGTTTCAACCCCCTGCTGGCTGTTATAGATACACATTGTCATAGTAAAAAAAAATATTTCAACAATACTAATACAGTATTTCAATCCACTGCTGAATGCTCTTTATTAATACTTAAAGTAAAACTAAAGGCAGAACTTTTTTCCGATTGGATAGAGTAAGGATGGGTTATAACCCCTGTTAATTTTTTGTCATCTCTAGCCCATTAGGGAGTTTTCCCTCCACTTCCTGTCTTATAGCCAAAAGAGAGATTGAGAGGAAATTTCACTAACGTGAGCAAAATGCTTGGTTGTCACCTGAACTAGTGTTCCCATTGGAAGATTTCCTCTCTATTCCTGTTCTGGTGACGTCCCAAAATGTCTGATTTTCTTTCACTTTCACTCACAGTGATGATGGTAATCAGGACAACTAAAGTTGATAATCTCCCCAATGGGAACACAGTCCGCATAAAAAAAAAACAGGTGTTCTAATCCCTCTCCACTCTATCCAAAATTATACAAAACGTTTTGCCTTTAGTTGTTGTTTTTCAATGTATAGTATTCATGCTTCAAATCGCTCATGTGTGATTGGAGTTAGGCCAGCCATACATGGGTCGAAATTCGGCCGATTTTTCATCCGAAAATCGGACGCAAGAATAATCGGCTGATTTTTGCTCTGTTAGTGGGTCAATGGCACTGGGCGATTTTCGTGGTTCCTCCCCTTTTCGGTGATCGGGCATGTTGGAAAATTTGTGAAAAATTACCGATTTTCAACTCAATAATGGTCAAATCGTACAATTGTTTTTTTTCCAAAAAGAATATGTGCATGAGCTGTGACCTGGAAGGAACAGAAGTTTACATGTTATATGGGGTGAACTTTATGACTTGGTTGGCCAATTTTCAAAATCAATGATGGCACCATCAGATTACCAAGCGTACAACGTTTCCGGTTTTCAGACAAAAAAATCTTTCAAAATTCGAACCATGTATAGCCTCACTTTCTTATGCTGATCCATTTCAGGTACTTCCAGGTATAGGGTGACATGTGACTCACTCTCCTCCCATGTGACAGAAAAGTTGCCAATTAGGCACCAGTGCCATCACTTGGGTCCAGGGACAGAGAACTGTGTGAGCACCAGCATTAAAGTGACTTGGAGCTACCCAATACAGGGAAAGCATAAGATGCTGCGGTAGCTGGCTTTAAAGTTACTGTCACTTCAATATCAAATTCTATAAAAGGCAGTTTGCAATAATGGACCATTAGATCTCAACTTCAGGAAAAGTTAAAGTCCTCACTTGCCGTGGGGCTATGTTTGCATTGCAAGATTTTACTGCTCATTTATGTCTAGGGTACGGTGAAAGCCCTTTTACTTGCCTGATCCTCTGACTGACAGCACTCCTTCCTCTGCACTCGGGCAGTGGACCGTCATTCAGAGTTTTAACGTCCAAGGCAAGGCTATGGGGCCTGCATCTGTCTTGATGACATCAAAGGACCTTAGACCCCCACAGTGCAGGGAGGAAGAGGCTGTCAGGAGTGGTCTTAACAGCAAAGAGGAACCTGCAGAAGTGGAGGATCAGGTGAGTAAAACTGCTTCACCAAGTCCGCTAGACCAAAATGAGCAGTTAATCCTTTGCAGGGTGGGTGCAGCCGCACTGCTAGGGAGGACGTTTGCTTTTCTGGGAGTCCAGCCTTAATACTTCCCTATCTTGCAGTAAGTACTTTCTTTATATTATTAATATAGGTACATATCTAGTACTGTCAATTTACATATATATTGTACATTCACATCAGTCCCTGCCCACAAGAAGCTTAAAATCTAAGGTCTCTAACTCTCATTTATACACATACTAGGGCCAATGTAGGCAAGGAGCCAATTAACCTGCCAGCATGTCTTTGGAGTGTGGGAGGAAAGCAGAGTAACAGGAGGAAAAACCATACAAGCACAGGGAGAACATGCAAACTCCAGACGGAGTGCCGTAATTGGGAATTAAACCAATGACGCTAGTGCTGCTAGGTGTAAGTGCTAACCACTTAGCCACTGTGCTACCCACTCTCATTAGGAGCTCTAGGAGAATCTTCAGCCTCCCACACTACTGACCCTTACATTACATCTGGTCGCCAGTTCCTCACAGTTCTTTTTTTACTTCATACAAGGTCCATGTTTTATCTCACCAGGATGGTCGTGCTGATGTGGTGGCCAATGATGCCGGTGACAGAGTGACACCTGCTGTTGTTGGATTCTTGGAAAATGAAGTGGTAAGGCAGTTTTGTATTTGTAGAATGTGTGGAACAGGTCCAGCTGATAACCAACTGAGGTTAGCTTGTTCTTTCTACTTCTTATCTTTTCAGATTGTTGGCTTGGCAGCAAAACAGAGCAGAGTGAGAAATGCAGCAAACACTATTGTGAAAGTGAAACAGATATTGGGGAGAAGGTAGGTTGCAAATTCTTCTTTCAGTTGGTTTTAGAGTTTTTAGGAGCTGCAGAGTGCAGTTTAGGAGCCTATTGCCATTTGATGGAATATGACTCTTCTTTGTCACAAAAGTCTTCAGTATGTTCTGTGCCAGCTGTAATTTTACTTAACCACTTCCGGACACTTTCACCCCCTTCCTGTCCAGGCCAATTTTCAGCTTTCAGTGCTATCACACTTTGAATGGCAATTGCTCGGTCATGCAACACTGTACCCATATTCATTTTTTAGCATTTGTTTTGAGACCGATAAAACTTTATTTTGTGGTGGTATTTATTCACCACTGGGATTTTTATTTATTTTTTGCTATATAAATGAAAAAGTCTAAACTTTTTTTAAAAAAGTGTTTTTCTTGTAAAATTTTGCAAATAAATCTTTCTTCACAAATCTTGGCCAAAATTTATTCAGTTATCTTTTTAGTAAAAAAACAAAACAAATTAGTTTATAAGCAAAAATTATAATTTTTCAAAATAATTTTGTTACATTTTTATTTTATTTTTTAATATTAATATTTTGTGTTTTTTTTAACATACTGTCAACCTAGCAGTACAATGTCACCATAGTGAAACTGTATTACTTGTGGGGGGTGATGAAGATTTTTTTTGTTTTTACACTGATTTGTTTTTTTTTTTTACATTGATTGCTTTTACACTAATAAAGGCTGTAAAAGAAATCCTTTCTCCTTCTCTCTGACTGCATTCTTGCAGCCATTGAGAAATGCTGTGAGAGCTGTGGTTGGTCACAGCTTGTCACATGGTACAAGGCTGCTGTGAATAGCCTTGTACCATGTGACCTCTGTGATCATTCACAGATTTCACAAGTAGTAAGCAATGATGTCAGGAAGTGACATCTTGCTTACTACTATTCATGTGATCACTGATTGGCCAATCACTGATCACATGATCGGGACCTCACACAGAAGTCCCGTACAGTGCTCGGTGTTCCTCCGGACACAGCGGGAAATGGATCACGGCGCCGCGTGCTCCCTGGGAATGTGGGCGCCATTTATAAATGGCAACCCGCTCCTGCACTGCTCCTGTTAAGCCGTTTATGTACATGGACCGGACGGGAAGTGGTTAAAGTGGAGCTCCACCCAAAAGGGGAAGTTCCACTTTAAGTTCTGGTCCACCACTCCTGGTGAGGAAATGACACCTTTGGAGAGCGGGGGGGTTGGGGGAGTGGGTACCTAAATTTGACAGGTACTCACCCCCATTTCAGTTGCGATCGCCTAGGCAATTGGAAGTAAAAGTTATCCACTCACCCTCACCGTAGTCCTCTGGGACACGTGACAGGTCCCAGAAGACTACAGGACCATTCACAAGGTGTAGCGCTACTCGCCCATATGCAGTGAGCACCCATCTGTTGAGCTGTCACAGCCTGGTGCCCACACTTAAAATACCTGGGAGCGAGGACAGCTGGTGAGACCGGTTGCGGTGTGTAGGTCGCCGAATCGTGGGACAGGTGAGTGGCTGTTTTTTAAAAATCAGCAGCTACAGGTTTTGTAGCTGCCAACTTTTATTGTTTTTAGCTTTGACTAGAGCTTCGCTTTAAGGTGAGCATAGATGGATCAAAATTGCTGGTCAAATATCAATCTGTGTGGCCCTCCCTGTTTGAAGTTGGAAAGCCTCTTTTGATCAATGGCTGCAGCCGCTGGTGAGTGTATTCTGACAGCAGGGGGATTCCTCCATCCATTTTGCTTGTGCAGATTGAGGAATCTGTTAGTTTTTTTTTTTTTTTTTTTATATATATATAGTTAGCACTGGCTGAATGAAAAAAATTCTATACCCAGCTTTAGAAACATTGGCTGCATAGCTACTGGTTTTGTCCAGGTCTTGCTGTAAGCTTTTTTTGGTTGTAGATACTTTCAGCCATTTTTGGAAAGTTAAAGCTGAAATACAGATATGATTTACATTGGACCAGTGTAAGTATACCCAAGGGGCTGGTGATGTAGCTTACAATCACTGTAGTAGTCTGCACTACTACAGCGATTATCACTATCTTCTGGATCCTGTGCTGAGCATGTTCTTCTCTGCACACTGACAACAAGGGGTCGCTTGCTCAGTGCTGCCACCATTTATAAAACTCCTTGTTTTTTTTTTCCTCAGTGAATACAAGGTGTTTTCTGATTGGACTAGGTAGAGATCATGATGTCACCAATTCTCTTTTGCACCTCGTTCAACCAGGGAATGCCTTGCATTTATTGAAAAAAAATGTGCTATGAATGGCGGAGGTGTTTAGCCATGTAGTCAGTGTGCAGACGGGAAGCCACTCCGCACAGGATCTGGAAGATGGTGGTGATCACTGTAGTAGTACAACCTACTACAGTGATTGTTCACTTCCCCAGCGGGCACTTACTAAGTATGCAATACAGATCAGTCCTTGAGATCAGCTTTATGTAAACTAAGATTGGTTGTTATTAGCTTATCTACTTTTCATATCTAACTTGTTTTACTTTGTTCTGCATCTTAGCTTTGAAGACCCACAGGCTCAAAAGCACATCTCTGAAAGCAAATGTTCAGTAAGTTAACATTATTGTATTTTTCATCCTGGTCAGTTCAAGTTTTGTTTGGATGTCTTGTTTAAACATTTTTAGGGATGGCATTACTCAAGGTTCTCATTTGTTCATTACATGGTGAGTCTCTGACCAGGAACAAGCATGTACGTATCTGGTATCTATACACTTCTCTAGCTGCAGGCTTGTTCAGGGTCCGTGCTACTCTTACTTCTATGAGGTACTGTATATTGATGTTTATGTATTTTATAATTATAGTATTAGTGAAAAAAATCTATTATAGTGATGACAAACTCCAGCATTTGCATTGTTTGTTTAATGGGAATGATGCAATGTGATTTAAATTTTAATATGCATTTGATTTGGCTTCCAGATAGTAGATAAAGCAGGAAAACCAAAGTATGAAATAGATACAGGAGAAACTGTGAAATTTGTAAGCCCAGAAGATGCTGCTAAACTTGTCTTCAGTAAAATGAAAGGTAATTCAGACATAGTACTTGATGCTCCGTTTAGTTCTACGTTTGTACAACACTAGCATGATTTTTCTGTTTTATTTGTTTGTTTCTTAGAAACTGCACAGTCAGCTTTGGGATCAGATGTCAATGAAGTGGTTATCACGGTTCCTTTTGATTTTGGCTCAAATCAGAAAAAGTCTCTTGGGTACGTACAGAACCAAGATGCAGTAAATTGTGTTTGTGCTTAAAACTAAACCTGGGGCATTGAAGAAGAGCATCTGAGGAAAATGTTTACAAATGATGATTATCTTCAATAAACTATTTTGTCAGAACAATCAGTAGATCCAGAAGTATAAATAGTTGAAGTGAAATGCATAGTTTTAATTTTTCATACCCCTACCTACCTCCCAATTCTCCATAGAGAACTTGGCAGGGGTGGGCTCAAGCTGGATACCTGCATATTCCTGGTGACTCTTGGGAGCCCCCCACATAAAAAAAAAAATGGCTATAATATGTTAAATGGTATACCTAAACAAGTACATTCAGTAAGTCCATCCTGCTTTTCCTTCACTTTCAGCCCTTTTCATGCTGCTTCGGTTAGCAGTTAATGACATGCCTCAGCTCCAGGTATTGTAATGTGCATGCACAAGATGGAGTGTATGCAACATTTCATTCATCTACATTAAAAAATGGGGGAAAAAATTCTCAAAGAGAAAGTGTTTGGTTTTTTTTGTAACTTTATCTTGTCATGCACTTCATTGCATGCATGTGAGATGAGGTTACAACATCTCTCCAAAGGCACTGGTGACATTGCCTTCCCAAAGGGCATCTATGCAGCCAAGATTATGTCAATCGTGCCTTCACAGAAACCACCAGGAAGTGGACCCAACAAGTGTGTTTTTTTTTTGTTTGGTTTCTTTAACAAAAAAAAAAATTGTTGGATACTTTCACGTCTGCATGCAGAGCTGCATTTTGTTGAAAAAGTTTTAATGAAAGGGGGAAAGGTCAACTTTAAGCTGACAGTTTTAACTTGGTTGGATGTATAGCTATTCACTTCATTTGATGGATTTCTTTGTACATTTTATTCTATAGGGAGGCAGCAGCAGCTGCTGGATTTAACATTTTGCGTATGGTTCATGAACCATCCGCTGCTCTCTTGGCATATGGTATTGGGCAGGACTCACCTACTGGTAAAAGGTATGTCAAGCTACAATTCCAAGTACTTTGCTTTGCATACTTACTGTATTCCTTCTGTTTAGCCTTACCCACAGTCTGCTGTCCCTTTCAAAACTCCCACCTTCTCCAGATAGATTTGTTTTTTTCTTCTATAACTAACTTTTTAATACAATTAAAGTGTTACTAAACCCACAACAGTAAAATCAGTCTGTATATGCAGTAAAGCATGCTCGTTATACTCACAGTGAAACCTAAGGGGTTAATCATCTGCATTGTGTAAAAAGGCTGTTTGATCCTGACTTCTCTGATCCTCCTCCTTCCAGTGCCCCCTCTTATCTCCTGATAAGACATATCTTGTGGAGACACTCTGCACATCCTCAGTTTGGTGTGTATTGCTAGAGAGGTGTTTTTTTTTTTTTTTTTTTTTCTTGGGAGAGTGTATGTGATCAGCACAGGGCCAATCAACACTGTCCAGACAGAGGTCAGTAGTTCTGCATCCTCCTAAAGCAGAAAGAAAATGCCTTCTACATGCTTTAAGTAGTGCTCTGCTGGACACTGATATAAGTCACAAGACTGCTCTAACTGCTGATGAGAAAAGGCATTTAGCAGTTTATATTTGCTAAAATATTGGCATTTTAATGTCGTGTGTACTGTGGGAGACCAGATATAGTGAATGCAGGGTCCTGGGTTTAGTAACCACTTCAATACGAGGCACTTTTACCTCCTTCCTGCCCAGGACAATTTTCAGCTTTCAGAGCTCTCACAGTTTGAATGACAATTAGGCGGTCATGCAACACTGTACCCAAATTAAACGTTTATCATTTTGTTCACACAACTAGTTCTTTATTTTGGTGGTATTTAATCACCACTGTTTTTTTTATTTTTTTGTTAAATTAAAAAAGATTGAAAATTTTGAAAAGAAAAAACAAGTTTTTCTTTTGCTTCTGTTATAAAATTTTGCTAATAATCGTTCTTCATAAATTTAAGTCAAAATGTACACTGCGAAATTTCTTTGGTAAAAATAACCCACATTATTTAGTCTGTAGGAAAGGTATAAAGTCCACAAACTATGGTATAGATCTGAAAATTGATCAATCCTGATATACTGATGGCCGATTTCATGAGTCCCAAAAATGTCAGGACAGTACAGATATCCCCCAAATTATCCCTTTTTGGAAAGTACACACTTGACAGTATTTAGTAAGAGGCATGGCGAGTTTTGTGCCAGTGTAATTTTTTGTCAGTTTTTTGTAAAATTGAAAAAAAAAAATGGTGAAAAAATATTTTATTAAACACTGTCTCCGCTGAAGTGCAGCGTCATCATATAACTGGTGTGGTGATGATCAGGTGCACTGACTGATGACCGTGTGAAAATTTTTTATTAATTTTTAAAACACTGTGACCATGGTAACATTGTACTGCTCTGGGGATGTGATCTTTTTTTTTTTTTTTTTTTTTTTTTTTTTTGTTTTAACACATTATGATTGCCCATAACAAAGAATTTCACTGCTATAGGCAAGCATTTTAACTGAATGTTATGGATTCATTCAGTGTTTTTTGTTATTGGCTGTGATTTGGCCCAGTCAGTACCATGTGATTTCTGTGACCAATCACAGCTAGCAACACAATTGTATACAATGAATAGCATGAAAGGAAGCCATCCATATTTTTGCAATTATCATTGGACCTGCTGTGGACACAGCCGGTGACAGATCTCACCACAGCATGGATGCGATCCGAGAGGATTATTATACAGGATTTATATAGCGCCAACAGTTTGCTCAGCGCTTTACAATATAACGGGAGACAATACAGTAACAATACAGTTCAATACAAGAGGGATTTGAGGGCCCTGCTCCTTGGAGCTTACAATCTAGGAGGGGGGATGTCATATGACGCCCACCTGGATCGACAAAAGTCCCACCTGGCTGGTGGCAGTGCTGTAATTTCTTGTAAAATGAAATATGGCAACCTAGAGGCGTTCTCTAGAGGTGTTCTGTACACAGATGGTGTACAGCATGCCCCCTCAGAAATGTTGCTTCCGGCTTGTCTGATTGGCTCATTCATTTTCCCAAAAGTCTGCACTGAGATACAAGTCATATTTTGGGCATCACCTGTAACAAACATGTCATTTTTGGTGAGATGCATTCAAAAGGGAAATCACATCTAAAAGGATGCAAACCCTGCACTTTCCTCATTAGATCCCCCTGCAAGTGCAGCAGCTGATTGATGGTTTTAAATCACTCCCATTCACATTCATTTTTCCACATGTTAACAGACAAACAAACTGCTATTTCTTCAGAATAACAACAGTTAGGATTCAGCAACTAAGTTTGTTAATATCCCTGCAATGTATATAGATCACCCAGAGGGGAATATTATGGTTTTCTCAACAAAGAATCTAGTTACTCTTTAACTTTTACTACATTCACTAAGCTAAGTTCCTTGCAAAGTGCACATGTACTAACCCTTTGGTAAATCAATCCCATTATGCTATAATTTATAACACATTTTTAATTATTTCCTTATTGGTTGCAGCAATGTATTGGTGTACAAATTAGGAGGTACGTCATTATCTGTCACTGTGATTGAAGTTAACAGTGGAATTTATCGTGTTCTTGCTACAAAGACTTATGACGACATTGGAGGTATATGTTTTACAGAAGCTCTTGCTCAATATCAGGCATCTGAATTTCAGAGGTATGTCATGTTTAAATCCCTTTTAGATTTGTAAGGGGAGCATTAAAATGTATCACATCACAACAGAAAGACTGAAGTGTTTGTACTTCCTTCACATGAGTTAGAGCCACCTTCAACCTTATACCCTGCCTGAATAGTTATGTCTCAATGACTTTAACACAGGTGCAGTGCTTCCTGATTAACATAGAAAGCATGACATCCCTGGAAGTATTAGGAGAAGATTTTACAAGGCACAGCAAATTTCTAGAATTCTGTTACTAGTGAAGTCATACATGTGTTCAAAGCCATGGTCCCCAAAAGAACATACATACCAAAGTGAAGATATTTATTTTATATAGGGGAAAATAAAAATATAATTATGGGTGTTCATATGATTCAGTAAGAATTCCGTAAAATAATCTTTAGTTGGAAGACTTCAACTTGTAATTAGTGGTATATAGTAATGACTGAAGAAGCATGTTGCTTGTGCTTGAAAAGCATTGTCAAACTGCTAAAGCCCCTACACTTTGCAAGATGATACTAAGTCCTATTATTTATTTATTTGCAGTATGCCTTCGTTGTAATTTTGCAGACATAGCTTTCCCCTTTTGTTATGACTTGTTTTGTAAAACTCCTCCATATTTTTTTATAATTTTTTTTTTTTTTTAAATAGGTTATACAAGCATGATATAAAAGGAAATGCTCGAGCAATGATGAAACTTATGAACAGTGCTGATACAGCTAAACACTCCCTATCGACTTTAGAAAGTGCTAATTGTTTTGTGGATTCATTATATGATGGCATTGACTTTGATTGCAGTATTTCCAGGTAAGATGATATTTCCCTATCCTATATAGTGCTATGTCAAGGGTCCTCAACATGTAGTCTGCGGGCCGCATGTGGCCTTCTGAGCCCTCTGATTTGACCCTTGACCTCACACCAGGTAAGCGTGTGCCGGGGTCAGCAACCAGTTGATTGCAATCTGGGCTTGCCAACCCACCACTCCAGAGCATCAGAGTGCATTGAGCTGGTTCAGGCAGCAGAGGAAATAGGCAGCCGCAAAGGGGCCAGGAGGTGCATAAGCTGATGCTTCCTCGTTAGAACTGGCTTCTGTCCCAGATGGAGTGATACCAAGTGCATTTCGCCTTGGAGCAGCCTGGAGATGGAGAGCAATGCCAGCAGAAGCTGTAAGAGGAAAAGACTGCACTTTTACAATTGGGCATATTAGCACCTAAAAGGGTTAACAACTATTAGGCTGCTTTCACACTCATCTGCAACGCAGTGCACCTGTGGCTTTCCTGCTGGTTAGCTGCACTGAGCCATAGACTTCTATTCTATCATGCGGGTTTCAGAAAGTGCACCACACCTGCAAGTTATAATAGAAGTCTATGGCAAAGTGCAGCTGAGCCGCAGAAAATTAAACCGCAGTGCATCATTGTGAAAGCAGCCTTATGGGGGTCTTAGGACATTAAGGGCTCATTTACATGTGCGGTTTGGGGGGCGGTAAAACCCATAGTTTTTAACACACACCCCTATCACAGGTGTAGTGTCAGGAATCACAATGACAATCCCTGCTGAATGTTCCAGGGGGCTGTGCGGGTTTCCTGTTTCATTCTGTTTTACACCTTGGCAGGTGGGGGGTGGACAGGTGTCACATACAGGAACCGATTCTCCATTTTCCTCCTGTAACTGCTGAAAGCCAGTTTCTCCTCCTATCCCTCCTGCCGGCATCCAGTGGCTGCAGGAGGAAAATGTTCATTATGCTATTCACAAAAAATTTTTAATTTTGTACCAATTCATTTCCTGGTGGCTCGCAGCCAGTTGCAAAATCACTTAAGTGGCTCTCGTACTTCAAGTCATGGGGATCTTTATATTAATGAAAATATAGTCCACTTGTATATTTGAAAACAGAAATTTATTGGTGGAAAATGTCATTTGCAAAATTATTGATGTTGGTTTTTGTGGGTATTGAAAGATATCAGCACTGCTATTAGAACAGGTATGGCTAGTTTAGGGCAGGTCAGACACTGTCAGATATGGACTGGAAATTATTTGCTGCAAGCCAGCCTAAGACAGAGACCACTGTTCAGCTCCGGAGAATGCTGCCCACCTTCAAACGCTACAAATTATGCCAAAGAATGTAAATATTGTGCTAACCCTGTATAGGTTGACCTGTGTTGATTATAGCAGAATTCCAGATATTTTTATTTTATTTTATAAATCTGCATTGTGGAAAAAAAAAGTGTAAAAGCAAAGCATTCTTTGATTGGACGAGGCTGCTGGCTCTCAGCACGGCTTCCTTAGATCTGGCCTGACAGCTCTACATGAGTCACCATCTGTTATGTTATGTGATTGATTTTCTAATTTCACACTGGGTATATATTTATCTAGTGTTGTAAATTTTAATAAATGAATTGTCATTTTTCTTTCTTATTTTGTCAGCATTTTTTAGCATATATATTTTGTCACACCATTATTATGTAGGGGGGATATCCTGGATCTTTAATTAATATCTACCCTTTAAAGCTGTAGTAAAGGTTAAAAAAGAAAATACCTCCACAGGTTCAAGTAGAACTATAGGCAAAACTTTTTTTTCTTTCATTTTTGATTGAGTAAGGGAGGGTTATAACCCCTGTCAGATTTTGTTTTCTCCATCTGTGTCCCATTGCAGATATTTCCTTCCTTCCTTTGCTTACAAATTAAGGGTGTTCCTTGGGGACTCTAGGTTACCAGAACCAGTGTGCCCATTGGAATATTTCCCCTTTATTAATTTACTGGGGACAAAAGAAGATTTGGGATTTTCTTTTGCTTTCACTTTCAATGATAATCATAAACAGGACAAATAGGGTGAATTTGCCATGGAACAAGCAGCAATAAAAACTTACGGGTGTTCTAATCCCTCTCCACTCCATCCAAAACAAAAAAAAAAAGTTTTTTGCCTTTAGTTATATTTTTAATGTCATAATGTGCTAGTATGCACCGCATAGTAGCACATTCTGACAGACTTACCTGTAAAACAGATCCTTCCAGGGGCGCACTGACATGGCTTCCATCTTCACCCAGTCTCCCTTCCGGGTTTAAGCATGATCACGGCACATCTCAAATGTGCTATCCGTTTACAGAGCAGTGCGCATGCTTCGGTCACGTTACATTCAGGAGATATTCACTGTACCAACAGGTAAGCCTCATTATAGGCTTACTTGGAGGTACAAGTGAAAAAGCGAACTTGCTTTAAAGCAAAAACATTGTTTCCCTGGCTTGTTTGGTTTCCTTTTTAACATCCGTACTTCCAATACTGGACTCAATTTTTTAAAAAATGTCCGTAGTCAATTGTGGGTTTGTGAAAATCATAGTTCATGATGAGCATTGATTTTCTGTCTAATCAATTTTGAATTGAATATGTTTTCCGTAAGAATAATTTATTTGCGCCATGTTTGAACTGAGTTCACTAGATGTGAATATACAATATTAGCATTTGCTGTAAGTTGTGGAAACACTTCATGAATTACAACTTCTGTTCATTATTCACAATAGGTACAAACAAGGAAAAATCCATCTTGCTTAGAAGCCCCTATGTCTGTTGTTTGGTCAACTAAATCAGCATTATTGTTTATTTAAAGGAGACGTAGGGCCAAAGATCTTTGGCCTTACATCTCCTGTAGGTCACAGGAGTTCTCTTCGTTCTTCATTTCAGTGCCCTGTATTCAGCTGGTTCAGATTCTGGAGGGCTCCTGACTTTAATGTTGAGATCTGCCCAGATTTCTGACCAACAGCTGGCTCAGGCGATTGGCACGCTGAAAGGGCAGAGCAGAGAGCCGACAACTGACAGACACCAGCTCTCTGCTGAGAACTGAGTATTCATTGGTCTTTGATCACTCAGTTCCTGGTCTTGGAGGCAGCAGGAAACAGATGTTGCATCCACCTAGGTGAGTATCAATGTTTATTTTTTTTTTTTTTCAAAACCTGCATTTCTCTTTTAACACTGGAAAAGGAAACTATTCACAATTTCCTGACACCTTGTTTTTACTGCCTTTTTTTCTTTCAGGGCTCGGTTTGAGCTAATTTCTTCCTCTCTGTTCAATCAGTGCATGGACCCAATTAAAAAGCTTTTGGAAGAGGTTGAATTTAAAGCTACTGACGTGAATCAGGTGTGAATTCCATTTTTTTTTTTTTTTTTTTTTCATTCAATCTCATTGTATTCTTTCTTGTTACATATAAAGTGGTTGTAAATATCAGACATGAAATATGAACAAAGCATATCCCTCTATAGTGTGTACTTGTCTCTATTAAGAGCACAAAGTGTCATTTCTGTCTGCTGCTTCATTCCATCTGCATGAGTTACTTCTGACAAGTTTTTCTGACACCAAGAGAAAAAAGATGACAGGAGAGGGACCGCCAGCTGGTGATTGGCAGCCTCCGCTTTGTTTCTGTGTGCTGTGTGAAGAGGGGGGTGTCCCTTTCTGCCAATTGGCTCTCAGAGCTTTCTTGCTGAACTCTGCAGTGTGTCATTTCAGCTCTCTGCCCCATTTTCTGAAAGTTCAGATAAGCTGTTTAAATTCTGGACTTTGGATGTAGAAAAGACTGCAGATAAACATGTACAGCTTAAGTGGGAGGATTTGTTTTATCTCTGTGTTATCACCTGAGGATAGTAACTTCTCTGGCTATATGTAAGGGTTTACAACCACTTTATGAATTTAAACATTTCATCTCAGCAAAGTCAAATTAAAAATATATTTTCTCACTGCAAGGATATTTCATACTATTATCTAATAAGAAACAAAGTGAATCTTTATTCACTTAGACCCTATTAGAGGTCCACACATAGATATAGAAAGTTCACAGTGCTTCCTTTGAACTTGTTAACCAAGAGCACTTAGGCATGCATGTCTGAATTTCAGCTCCTGAAACCAAGCTCAGACCAGCTCCCCCCCCACCTCCCAGTCAATGTGAAACTAATGTGTGACATGGGAGGTAAAGTTGAGAGTTGCATAACACAGATCCCTGAGTCTTGCTGCTAATGAGCTACTCTGCAAGATGTGCTCTTAGATATGTACCTACTAATGTAGCTAAATCAAGTGTAAATCAATTACAGGATGACATTAATTTATTACTGATTAAAAAAAATTACCTAAACATTATTTGAGTGGTTTGCTTATTTTCATGTGCTCGCTGTTTTGCTGTAAATTTCACATTCATGAGGCCCTAATTCTACAGTTCTGTGTGACTAATGTTCTACATGACTCTTTAATGTGAACTTCTTGTTTGCCTATGTTAGACGAAGCCCCACTGCTTATACCTTCCATTCACTGCCATGGAGTGTGACAGTTGAGTGAACCTGCAGAGCAGGGGTATTGAATTAAAATTCAAGGAGGTCCGGTCACTAAAATCTTATGTCTGAAAATAAATGTCCCCATTAGTGTTCCCCCTTACATCAGGTTCCCCCTCCAGAGTAATTTATTACATTGGGTGTCACCATCAGACTTCCCCATAAATCAGACGTCCCCATCAGAGTGCCCCCTTACATTGGGCATTCCCATCAGAGTGCCCCCTTACATCAGTTGTCCCCATTAGAGTGCCCCATTATTTATTTAAGGTTCCCTCATAACAGCGACACCTTACCTAGGGTGTGCCCCCTTACATTGTGTCGCCATCAGTGCAGCTTTACATCATGTATCCCCATTACATCAGGAGTGCCCATCAGAGTGCTCCTTTACATCAGTTGTCCCAATCACAGTGCCACCTTACATCAGGTATTCCTGTCAGAGTGCCCCCTAACACTCAAAGTACCCCTTTACATCAAATTCCCCATCAGAGTGCCCCTTTCTATCACATGTGCTCATCAGAGTGCCCCTTTCCACAGTATGTGCCCCCTTAACATAAAATGTGCCCATCAGAGTGCCCCTTAACATAAAATAAGCGGCATGCTGATGGGCACATTTATATTAAGGGGCACTCTGATGGGCAAATTTATGCTAAGGGGCACTCTGATGGGCACATTCTGTTTTGCCCATCAGAGTGCCCCTTAGCATTAAATGTGCCCATCAGCATTACCCTTTAACATTAAATGTGCCTATCAGAGTGCTCCTTAATATAAATGTGCCCATCAGAGTGCCCCTGAAAGAACACACCCTACCTTGAGGGCAGACAGGAGTGGGAGGCAGGAGCTTGCCGGGATCCTTGCTGAAGGGGGTGAGGCGCAAGCTTGTGGACAGGCAAGGAGCGGGAGCAAGGAGAGTCCGTGAGCTGCAAGGGGCAGGGCACATGTGTGATGTTGTCGGTTGCCAGGATGACCGCCCTGCTGAGCAGCGGGTCGGTTATTCTAGCCTGGCAGTCCAAGCGGGAGCACTGCTCGGTCCGTTCCCAGACCACGATCTGCCATTTAGTGCCCGCTGCTGCAGAGCATTGCGTTTTTACCTATTAACTAGATTCTCTCCATTGTTTAGGTAGTGCTATGTGGAGGATCTGCTCGTATCCCAAAATTGCAGCAATTAATTAAGGACTTATTTCCAGACGTGGAATTGTTAAACAGCATACCTCCTGATGAGGTCATTCCCATTGGAGCTGCCATAGAAGCTGGAATTCTGCTTGGTAAAGACAATCTATCCACAGAACTGGACTCCATTACCATTGAGTGCTCTGCCAGCGATATACTGATGAAGGTTGGTTTTACTGTCGTAGCAAAAAATTTTCTTTATTGACTCACTCATATAAATTTCCCTTCTAGCAGGAAATGCATCCCCCTACAAAAATTCTGCATTATGCCGAAATATTTTTTCAGTGGCTAAACACCAAGAGGTTTTAAGTTTTTGGGGTTTTTTTGTTTTGTTTTTTTGCTTGTTTTTTTTTTTTTCTGTATCTGAGCACATGCAGAAGCAGAGCAGATGTCCATTCAATATACAGTTGCAAGAAAAAGTATGTGAACCCCTTGGGATTACATGGAGTTTTGCATGAATTGGGCATAAAATATGCTCTGAACGTCATCTAAGTCACAACAATAGAAGAACACAGTCTGCTGAACATAATACTACACAAACATTAGATGTTGCCATGGTTTAATTGCACATAACATGTAAACATTCACAGTGCAGGGAGGAAAAAGTATGTGAGGCCCTAGCTTAATGACTTCTCCCAGAGCTAATTGGAGCCAGGAGGGAGCCAACCTTGACTCCAATCAGTGTGATGATATTGGATGTGTTGCTGACAGCTGTCCTGCCCTTACAAAACACACACCTGTTTTGGGTTTACTGGTTTCAAGAAGCACTGTCTGATGTGAACTATGCCTCGCAGAAAAGAGCTCTTAGAAGACCTACGATCAAGAATTGTTGACTTGCATGAAGCTGGAAAGGGTTACAAAAGTATCTCCAAAAGCCTTGATGTTCATGTTTTCAAAATAGATAGTGCCGCGCTCCCATGTACCAATATGTATATCTTATACTTTCAAAGTGCTAATGAATAGCTTTCAAGATACTGCATGTATCAAACAATTATTACTAGTGACTCAAAACATCATTGTGAATATTAATCTTCATGCAAGTGACATTAATAACTGATAATCCTAAGGTGATAGTGCCTATTAAAGTACAGTGATATACAAATCAGAAATACTCCTCTATTCTACTGTGATCCTTATATTTATATTGTGCAAACACATATATATTATGTGCACGTGCTTATGATATATTCAATAAAAAAAAAAAAAAAAAAAAAAAAAAAAAAAGTCTTTCAAAATAAATGTGCAGGTGGATTCTTGGTTCCCTCTCGCCGAGTGCTTAATGGTCTCCCTATGTGCTCACCTCTATATTTGCCTGAATAAATCCAGGCAAATACACTTTTTATCCTTCCAGGATAGATGGGATGGAATGATGCTCTTGAATTATCTCAGAAGGTGGATGTGGATTTATATTTGTTCTCCTGTAGCTGCTCATGAGTGGGTATACTGACCCTCTCCAGTGCAATGTCGTGACGTCAGAGCCCCTCCCCTACGCGTATCGTCACAGGGTCACGTGACTTCATCAGGGGGAATAATCATTCCCCCTGATGAAGTCACGTGACCCTGTGACGATACGCGTAGGGGAGGGGCTCTGACGTCACGACATTGCACTGGAGAGGCTCGGTGATCTGAATACAGACACAGGTAGACAGCACTGCAGGAACAGAGGCAGAGCACATTTATGCTGGACTACAATTGTATACTACTGTGCAACTGGCAGCAATAAACCCCCTTTTTGCACAAGGATAAGACACTATGGTCTGTTTGTCTTCCTTTCTCAATTGAACAACACCCTTTGAGCTGATATAAGGAGGACTGGAAAAGGAAACAGCCCCAGGAGGGGAATTGGGAGATCCTCAGAGAGATGGTCAGTATACCCACTCATGAGCAGCTACAGGAGAACAAATATAAATCCATATCCACCTTCTGAGATATTTCAAGAGCATTATTCCATCCCATCTATCCTGGAAGGATAAAAAGTGTATTTGCCTGGATTTATTCAGGCAAATATAGAGGTGAGCACATAGGGAGACCATTAAGCACTCGGCGAGAGGGAACCAAGAATCCACCTGCACATTTATTTTGAAAGACTTTTTTTTTTTTTTTTTTTTTTTTTTTTTTTTTATTGAATATATCATAAGCACGTGCACATAATATATATGTGTTTGCACAATATAAATATAAGGATCACAGTAGAATAGAGGAGTATTTCTGATTTGTATATCACTGTACTTTAATAGGCACTATCACCTTAGGATTATCAGTTATTAATGTCACTTGCATGAAGATTAATATTCACAATGATGTTTTGAGTCACTAGTAATAATTGTTTGATACATGCAGTATCTTGAAAGCTATTCATTAGCACTTTGAAAGTATAAGATATACATATTGGTACATGGGAGCGCGGCACTATCTATTTTGAAAATATTATATATACACTAGCATATGAGTCAGTGCAAGTGCCAGCGAACCTCACGTGAGAAATAAGGACATCTAAAGTCACATATTGAACACCTCATTTCATAATAGCTCACAAGCATTCACCATTTATATTTATTCACACTTGATGTTCATGTGTCCACGGTAAGACAGACTGTCTACAAATGGAGAAAGTTTAGCACTGTTGCTACTCTCCCTAGGCATGGTCCTCCTGTAAAAATGAGTGCAAGAGCACAGCGCAGAATGCTGCATGAGGTAAAGAAGAATCCCAGAGTGTCAGCTAAAGACCTACAGAAATCTCTGGCACATGCTAACAGTTTTGTTGACACATCTACAATAAGGAAAACATTAAACAAGAATGGAGTACATGGGAGGACACCACGGAGGAAGCCATTGCTGTCCAAAAAGAATATTGCAGCACATTTGAAGTTTGCAAAAGAGCACCTGGATGTTCCACAGCACTACTGGCAAAATATACTGTGGACAGATGAAACCAAGATTGAGTTGTTTGGGAAGAACACACAACACTATGTGTGCAGAAAAAAAGGCACAGCACACCAACATCAAAACCTCATCCCCACTGTAAAACATGGCGGAGGGAGCATCATGGTTTGGGGCTGCTTTGCTGCCTCAGGGCCTGGACGGATTGTTGTCATTGATGGGAAAATGAATTCCAGAGTTTATCAAGACATTTTGCAGGAAAATGTACGACCATCTGTCAGCCAACTGAAGCTCCGCAGAGGATGGGTGATGCAACAGGACAATGACCCAAAGCATACAAGTAATTCAACAAAATAATGGCTGCAACAGCACAGAATACGCCTTCTGGAGTAACCCAGTCAGAGTCCTGACCTCAACCCGATTGAAATGCTGTGGCATGACCTTAAGAGAGCGATTCACATCAGACATTCAAAGAATATTGCTACACTGAAACAGTTTTGTGAAGAGGAGTGGTGCAAAATTACTCCAGATCGTTGTGCAGGTCTGATCTGCAACTACAGGAAACGTTTGGCTGAGGTTATTGCTGCCACAGGAGGGTCAACCAGTTATTAAGTCCAAAGGTTCACATACTTTTTCCTCCCTGCACAGTGAATGTTTACATGTTATGTGCAATTAAACCATGGCAACATCTAATGTTTGTGTAGTATTATGTTCAGCAGACTGTGTTCTTCTATTGTTGTGACTTAGATGACGTTCAGAGCACATTTTATGCCCAATTCATGCAAAACTCCACGTAATCCCAAGGGGTTCACATAATTTTTCTTGCAACTGTAACTAAATTTTGCCTAATGCTTATAAAGTACAGGGGCCGATTTACAGAATCTGGGGCAATTGCACAGGTTTCATCTTGTAGGGCAAATAATTTTGGATATGAGTAAGAACTCATTTGTTGAACAATCCAGTAGGCAATTTTAGTAAGCTGCATAAAGCCCAGCACAACTTGAGTTCATGTAAACGTAGGCCTAATTAAAGCCTAAGGTTTTATTACTCTGATGCAGTCGGGCTGCCTACAAAGCAATGTATGCGTAGGCCTATTTCCTGTGCTAGCACTGTAGCCCTGTATCAAACTGCCCTGTGTTTTGTACTGCTATACGACTGAAGAAGCACAGATTTCCATTTGTCCATAACTTATATCATTAGCAGTAAAAAATTATCTTTCTAAAAAAGAAAACTCAGATTTGTTTGCGTTCTGTGTGCTGAGATCAAGTAATACCCTGAACAAAGGGAGTAAAATCATATTTGAATTGTATGCAGTACAAAATAATGCAGATGTGCTTTCTTAGTCTCTACAGTCAAATAAACACCTGAGGGGGAAGAAAGCAAGTAACTGAATATATAAATTTCAAAGTCCAAGTACATGCGATAAAGCGTAGGCATAGAAATCTCCCTGCCAAGCGTAATACATTTCTATAATGTATTCTCTTGGCTCTGACAGCTGCAATAGCTGCAGGTGGAATTGAGCATGAACTGAAAATTGTTTGTGTAACTGGCCTGGAGAAACAACACAGGGGGCATACATCAAATGCTTACACAGATCGCATGCAGAGTATGGGAAGTGTGCCATTTTTTGTCTTTAAAAGAAAATGAAATATTAATGTACTTCTAACATGCTAGCTGTCTTCTATCTATTTACAAGGTGACTGGCATTCATTATTTGTCATTGATGAGCTTCACATTCATTATTAATTCATACTTAAAGTGTTGCTAAACCCACAACAGTAAAATCAGTCTGTACATGCAGTAAAGCATGCTTGTTATACTCCCTGAACCTAAGGGGTTAATCCTCTGCATTCTTGTAAAAAGGCTGTTTGATCCTGACTTATCTGATCCTCCCCTTCTTCCAGTGTCCCCCTCTTATCTCCTGATAAGACATATGGTGTGGATTTACTCTGCACATGCTCAGTTTAGTGTGTATTGCAAAGAAGTGTTTGGGTTTTTTTGGGGGGAGAAGTGCATGTGATCAGCACAGGGACAATCAGCACTGTCCAGACAGAGGTCAGGGGTTCTGCATCCTCCTAGAGCAGAATGAAAACTCCTCCTACAAGCTTTAGCCAGTGCTCAGCAGGACACTGATAGAAGTCACAAGACTGCTCTAACTGCTGCTGAGAAAAGGTATTTAGCAGTTTATATTTACTAAAATAATTGCAATTCCATGTTTTGTGTACTGTGGGGGACTAGATATAGTAAATTCAGGGTCCTGGGTTTTGTAACACTTTAACATCCCTT